CAGGGAAAGGAAATCCCAGGGCAAAAGACCTCTAAAAACCGAAATCAGTCAAAGGGAGAAATAAAGTTTAAAATCCATTTATTGCTCAAGAAACTGCAGTCCTGGGCCATTTCTCTTTCCTGCTCCAGCAGCAGCAAAATCGGCACCACCCCTCACCTCTCAGGTACAGATAAGCCCTCTGATGCTCGGGTAATTACCCACTGATATAGAGATGAACTTCTCTCCACCCCTGAGGAATGATGCAAATGCACTAAAGCCATACTTCTCTCCACCCTTGAGCGTCTGTTGATATGCAGATGTATTAAAGCCAGGCCAGATATTCTGGAAATACTACAATTTTACCCACAGTAAGGAATGATTCTCCAGAGAGCCTTTGGAGGGAAGCACAGCCTTGCCGATGTTTTGATTTTAGACTTCTGGGTTCCTGAACTGTGAAAATAAATTTCTATTGCTTTAAGCAACCGAGTTTGTGGTAGCTTGTTGAGACAGCTTAGGAGAATAAGGGACATTTCAGTTGGACATTGTGAGTCTTGTGCAGTTAGTTACCTTCTGCTCTGCTGGCACAGGCTGTTAACATCGACAGTCTCTCCTCTGGGGATTCCCCAGGCTTGCATCTGGCACCCTAATGTACACCCCAAACTTCACGAAGCGTATCTCAAGCTCTCCAAGTGGTTTCCTATGAATACCCTCTCACCAGACTTGAGGTAAGAGGAGAGACAGCCCTCTTCACCAAATCCATTTCCCTGGGGTGTTGGAGTGGAGCTTATAGCACAGTTTTATCTAAATAAATCCTTTCCAAATTTTTTCTGCATCTTTCCTGTCCTAACTCTATATTTATTCATTTTCTTTTTTCTTTTGAGATATCATCTTGAGTCATCAAACCTGTTCTTGGTCACCAACTTTGAGGACTGAATTTTCCTATCAGTTGTCTGTTGGTTGGTTTAACATCCTGGGTTACGTGTAGATAGCTAGAAATGTATGAATCCTACCTACCTATCAGAATCCTGGTGCAAAAGCAGATAAAACCAGGTAACAGGAGTTCTTATGGAATTCTAATATCAAGAGGCCTTTTTCTTGGTGATGTACATATTAAAATACTTCAAAGAAGCTGCTTTTTTTGGTGTTTGAACTTTGTAGTGCAGCCCTGGAAATTTGGCTGCAGATGGCCCAGCACTCATGGTGAACTGCCTTCTCATCCCAGGTAGACAACTCTCACCCTAATCCTTCTCCTTCAGAGAAACTCTTCCAGTTAAACAACTCCTTGCTCCTGCAGCAGGAACACTTGTGCCTCCCTTCCCAGGTTCTACCTGCATCTCAGCTTGCCTCAAGGCTGGATAAATTAAATTGTGGTTGTGCAGGAAACTCAGCAGGTCCTTGCTGGCTCTGGGGCAGCTGCAAAAGATGGTAAAAGATGCTACTACCTGCCAAGCTTGCTTTCTTCTCTGTTGGCAGGGGAAGCAAACAGCAGTTTCCTATGAGGAGAGGCACCACAGGAGAGTGAACTCATGGAAAGGAGAAGAATTGTGGCTTCATTGAGGTATGAGGTGCTCCCAAATAGCATGACTGATTCCTAATCTCAGTGTCAGGTCTAAAATATGAAAATCCATAATGAAACAGAGTTGCTCTATGCTATTGACTTTAGCTGGCTTTCTTTCCCTGTATAAACTCATGCTGCCATTTTAAAATATGTTAACACAACACCACCATTCTTAGGCATTCTTAGGACCTTGGAAATCTTACCACCTTCCATCTCTCTTGGAGGTTTTCTTGGAGAAATAATACCCAAGTTTAGATGAAGTTCCCCTTTGGGTTGGCCAACATTGCTAAAGGCCAACATAGTCAACCTTTCCATAACTTCTACCCAAATCTAAACAGCAAGCCGTTTGGGATAATGGAAGCAAGAATGCAAAAGAGAAAGATACTCAGAATTCATAGAATTGGAAAGCAGAGTTAACGAGGTCACTTCTAAAACCTGGTCCAATGGAAGTTCTGTGTTTTGAGCAATAGTACTACCAAGTCTCTTCACTGGGGTAGAGTAAGGATATTTTTTTGGTATACATAGGAGAAGGTAAAAGGATGAAAGTATGAAAAGGAAAAGACTTGTTTCCTTTCACAGTTATGCTACTCCCAAAACTCTGAGTGCTGAAGTCCAGTAGAATCATAGAGATACCACTTGCTTGAGATTTTACCTGCTGAGGCAGAAAAATGAATTCTTACTGTCGGACATAGTGTCGTGGTGTAATGTGAAAAATCAGCTTTTGAATTTAGTCCAGCACTGATAGGAATCCCCCTCATCCAGTCTACTCAGGGGCTGGTAAAATGTCTTAGCCTCTCCAGAGTCTCAGGTTCCTCTGAAAAGTAAGGCAGTGATAATGTCTAGTAAAGTGAGTTGATAGGTACATGTATGGCAGTGCATGTAAAATGCTCGCCATATGTAGTAAATCAGCCCAAATTAAGAGTGTAACTTCAGCTCTGTGATAAACATTGGAATGCATAGCCTTCATGTTCCCAGTTGTCTCCTGTGCTACTTCTAGGAAGCCCATGGCTGTCCTTCTCACGCCGTTTGACAGATTTCCTATTTTGAGCATTAGTTCTTATTAGCCCTCCCTTTGCCTTCCTGGAAGCTGCATTTTCCCTACTTTTTATACAGACTCATAGTTTCTCTTCCCTCGTCTCCTTCAGGGAGAGTCTGCAGAAGAGCTGTGGGCTAAGTACAGAACCCTGGGGAGCCATATGTTTAAGAGGTAAAGGAGGAAAAACATCTCATGAAGGATTCAGAGAAGGACCAAGAAATAAGAAGAAATCCAGAAAAAAAGAGCAGAATTTTAAGGAAAAGGCTTAAATAAAAAGCAAAATGTCGCCTAAAGGTCTAGAATGAGAACCGGAAGAAAACTATTCATTGAGATTCATAGATGCTCTCCTGCCTGAGCACATATGTGCCGGCTGGCTGGTGCCAGAGGAGTCTTGTTGTCAGTAGAGAATGTATTGAAATGGTCCCCTAAATCTGAAGCCGCTGTGAGCACAGTGAAGGTGATGGCTCAGCCTTTGAAGACTGGTTTCTAGCAGTACTTAAAGTTCAGGCATTTGTAGCACTTACAGGATGGCATATGCCAGTAGAGCCTTCTCTCTGCAGGAGAAAGCAAATAAGTGCAAAGAGTTCCCTGGGGCCCAGGATTTTAGAGGCCCTGGAGCCTATGGAGAACACTCAGTAAGGTATGCTGTAAGGAGAAGGTAGATTATTACTTCTCTGCTTGTTCTTTAAAGACCCTAGGTTCACACCCATTTATCCTCTGTAGAAAATCACGTCCTCCAGTGATTCTACACCAGTGCCTCAATTAAGATGTCTATTTTCAAAGCCCCCTGCTCCCTACCCATCTTGCATTATTCATTTATGGCCCCTGCTGGCCCCATAAGCATCTCATCAATCTGCAGAGCTCAGCACAGTGAAATCACATGGTACACCTGCGCTGCTACAAGCTGCCGGAAAGGTGTTTTCTTACACCCTTCACTTCTCAAGGCTGCCTCAGATATCCATTTATCTGATCTCACTCAGGTAAAATTTCAGAGGGTAAAACAATTTTGCGCATACGACTTGTGATTGGTCTGAGGTGGCTGTGTTTCTTTCCCTCAGGAGTCTTCACACTGAAGAGTCCCAGGGCTTCCTCCTGTCAGGCTAGACATGTCTTAATACCAAATCTTTTCCTGTGGAAACATGTTGGCACAAGAGTCTCTTCTGTCTCAACAAGAATCTTGCCTTGCCCTTTTTGTGCTGTTTCTGTCTGTTCTCTTTTCTCATAAATTCCATGGTAACATGGTTCTATTTCTTCACATTAAGTTATAAAATGGTTTTCTTGATTTACTGCTTTTTATAGAAAGTAGCACTGATGACCCAGTTTTGATTAACACAGAGTCACGGGAACATGGAACCAAACTTGAGTGTCTTTCTTTGTTAAGCAGTGAACCATGCCTCACACTCTGCTGGGAGGGGCGGAGGCTCAGAAAGCCTCGGTTGGGAAATCTCTGGGCCTTCCTTCTCTGAGGCAGGATGAGGGGAGAAATAGGACTGACTTCCCTAGGCACCAGCCTTGCGGAGGTGGGGTGGTGCTTACTTGAATTGTTACTTAGAGCCTGGAGTTCCTTGTGCAGGAAGATGAAACAACTCAGCTGGGGACATGAGGCTCTCATGTTTTTCCCCTAAAATACATCAGTGGCCACAGTTTCATAACTTTCAGTGTTAGCCCAGCACCTACCATAGCCTTGTGAATAAATGGACCTATTTTTGAGGTTTTCATTGAGGAAATTCAGTATATGGGGGTGAGATGTGACATGGAAAGGATCTTTCTTTTACCAAAAGATAACCAACCCTAACAAAGTTACTAGATAGTGAATCAGGAACTCCAAAAACATGATCTGAAACTCTTGATCAGAAAATGGAAGTATTTCTGTAAATATCTCCCATTAAGAACTAATGCGCAACTGGATAGCCATGCTGGCTTCAATAAGTCCCATATAGAAATACGTTCAAATTGACTACCAGTATCCTTCCTGTTGGCTCTGTTTTTTGTTAATGAAAACATGAGAATACTTAGTTTGCCAAACTGTGTATAAAAATGTCCATATCCCTTATTTATTTAGTGTTCATTACTTGAATTTTCAAATGATTTTGTCAGCCTGTTACAATAAGACAAATCATTTCCTCTGGCTATTGATTCATATGCTTCCATGTAGATTTGATATTTCAGTTACCATGATGCCATGTTACTGTTGAGCTATGTAAGACACCAACTTGGAAGCTAAGCTGCTTTTTTCATGCTGTTATGTCAATCTTGCTTCTAGTAAGTGGTCACTTTCTAGTATGATACTTCCGTCTTTTTTCTTTCTTTTTCTTGTTCCTCCTCTTCTTCCTCTCCCTCCCACTTCTGTTTCTTTTTTCTAAATTTTCAGTGATTGGTTTAAATTGGATCAGTGGGAACCTCGTTCATCTTAAAAATCGTGCTCCTGTGCTCACTTTGGCAGCACATACACTAAAATCGGAGTGATATGGAGATTAGCATGGCTCCTGATCAAGGATGACATGCAAATTCATGAAGTGTTCCATATTTAAAAAAAAATTGTGCTCCCATTAATAACAAAATGTATATGACAAAGCTCTTAGATAGTGCTTCTGTGATCCATCTATTTTCCTTGTGTAGACACTGATGGAGAAATAACAGTCCTGCCAACAAAAGACCCCTCTCTGTCATTAAAGACAAGAGAAAGAGAACAGTTTATTATAGAGTAAGCATTAGCAGAGTTATATGCATGTAAGGTTGTATAAAAATGGTTACAAAGTTTGGGCAAAATTTCACACAAATATATGCAATGAAGTAGAAGAAGGAACAATTACAATTCTCTTTTCTCCTTGAGAGGTAAGTAGATGCCTCCTGTATTTCTTGCATACTACTTTCTGAAAGAATTTTGGTTGTACATGTTTATAGTTTCAAAGGTCAGAAATAATAAAATAATAAGATAGGCCCTCTTATTGAATTTTCTTTATCTTCAAGGAGCATCCTAAGGCAGCTATTTCCTTCCTCAATGTAAATTTCATCATTTTATCCTGATATTATCCAAATTAGGTTTGCAAAGTGTTTCTTTGAGTCTCTGGTTAGTCACCAAGGTACAAGTGGCCTGATTTAGAGAATGCTCACATACTGTATGCCATGTGTCAGTTGATCTCATCAGCTGTGATGATGTGTGTCTGCATGCTGGGATGGTTTTCAGAGATTCAGATTGAGATTCATTCTGACAACATTTTAAGTAGAAAGATTAATACAATGTTAGACTCAAATCTGATTCTATTCTGTTGGGCTGCGATGTGTATAAATTTATGTAGTTGTTGACCTACTGAAGTCTTTTTGGCAGAAGTTTACCTCTTGTCATTCTTTTGGTGCTATTTTTATACAGATCATTGACTACACCAGTGATTACATTGTTATTAAGTCTCAGAGAACTTAGGGCCTTGTTAGAGCGCCAGGATTTGTCTTGGAAGATGTAGGCCAAACAGCCTAATGAAAAAATTCTTAAAAGAAAGATCTGGAAGTGGTCACATGGGATTACTTTATAGATTGAGTCTTTCTCTGGATTAGAGATCCTGATGAGAGAAAATTTTTTACATATTGCAACTAAGGAGATGGTAGCATTCATTTATTTAACTGTTTTGTAAGATGTAATATTGGGAGAGACAAAGATGAAATATAATTAATACCTATTTCAAAAAAGTTTGTCATTTAGTAGTGAATATGTTCTACACAAATAAGTGTGATAAAAGAAAGTTTTGTCAAAGGTCAGTGCCCGAGTAATGATACATGACTCATCAGATGATGAAAAAACAATTGCATGAATGTCGGGAAAGGCTTTATTGGAAATGAGGTATCTGGGTACTGACTGGTGAACCAGGTCTCTGCAGGTGAGGACAGTGGCTGTAGGAAGAACCTCAAGGACACAGCTAAAGAACCATATAAAGTGTTCTGGCAGAAGCATGTTCAGAGAGCCCTGGAAGGTGAGACTGGAGATGTATTTTGGAGCTGCATTATGGAGAGCATGGCTTAGACTAGGCAGAGAAGAAATATCATGTACAACTTCATTTCTAAAGAAAGGCAATGGGAAAGGCACAGGCTTTGGAGTCAGAAAGCCCTATGTTCAAGTTCTGGTTATCTCATTTTCTGTCTATGGAGTCATAAGCAATTACCTTGTCACAGCTTCCTCATCTTTTAAGTTGAGGTAAAAATGCCTACCTTAAACTATAAAGTTCAGAAGTTTAGAAAACACTTTATAAAATATTATATTTAGACATTGTCTGTCTAGGACTTTATACACAGATACATTACTGTTCTGTATCCAAGAGGGCAGAGCTGGTCTGATTTATTGATTTGAAAATGACTCATGTCAGTGATTAGCACTTAATAGAAATCACCTAATGGTGTTGATTAGGAAACAGAATGACTTTTCAGTTGTTTCCCAGTTTCAGCTAATATTTCACATTTTGGTCCAGGATAACTCTATTGCTTAATACTGTTCTTACTATGCCTCAACTAAGTTTACTTCTCACTGTTAATCTCAATATGGTGTTACTTTTCTTTTTTGTTTTTCCTACAAGTAGCTCTTTGAATGAATTGACTTTGGAGCATGTCCAATTCCTTTATTTACTTCTTAATCCTTTCATGTCACTTTGGAAGTACTGCTTCAAGATGAGTCCCTGCAGAGATGGCATTTCAAACAGCCTATGAGGATTAAATTCTTTTTTTTTTTGTTTTTTTTTTTCCAGTACACAAACCCAATTTGGGGAATTATCACCTCAGGCATAAGGATGATAGTTCTAGAAATGTCAGTCAGAAAAGCATGTGGAATAGTAAAGCTCCTTTTTACAAATAGTTTTGTGGGGAGCAAAATACCAACTCCATCAACCAGTCAGTGGGCGGACAGACCTTTGGAAATGTCTGCAAAACCCTCTGCTACCTACTAATCTTCTCCCTGTAATTTCACTGGCATAAGCAATAAACCTTGTAATTATATTGCACTAATCAGGAACACTGACAATAATGGAATATCAATCACAGCACTCATATGTAAACCCAGTCAGATTCAGAGCCTAGTTTTGGCATCATTTGTAGTTTCAATTATAACCTAACTAAAATGAGCCGATGGGTGCAAGCTGGCCGAATCACATGCAGCTCAATTCTTTTCTCTGACCTATCTTGAATATGCTTTTCAAAAGGCATCATTCATTAAGTTAAATTTCTTGTGCCAATGTTTAAGCCCGTGCAGTTTCCTTCATTTAGAGTTTATAACAGCAATAGCATCCTCGTCACAGGGCATTTCCTGAGTATTAATGGCTAGCTGGGGTTAATAGCTGAAGGTAGAGCCAAAGACCATCACTTCCTTCCCTCCAGTCATTAATTCTTAGGCGATGACCTGTCCTTTCATCATTATCGCTTGAGTCTGACCTCTATATGAAGTGATGTGGCACCGCAGGAATTAATCCTGACATGGGGGCTGCAAAGATGCACCCAACAAGCTGGAGGCTTTTTTCTCACCTAAACTGTTTTTAGGACAACTGTCATGGACCTGCCTGCCAAATCTCAATGAGTCATGCTCTAAATCTGTGTACCTTCAGTAAGCAGTTTGTCTATAATCAGCCAATTACTTATTTTTCTAGCTCCTAACAAGTAGTCAGAACTGATATTTATGAGATTTCCCTATTGCTTGATGGCTTCTTTTAAATATGTTCATCTCTGCCAGGCAGCTCCTTTTTTGAAATCTCATGATACAACGTTTCCATCATTGCGTGGCAACTATTACATGTTCTTCTAGGAACTCTTAATTCAGATATGCACAAAGACCCTTCCTCTGGGGTCTCTCTGTGTGTTTGTGGTGAGGAGGTGGAGGGAGTGGGTCTGAGGGGAGTGAAAGAATGTGAAACACAAACTGCGCATTCACCCAGAGCTCTGGGGAGATTTTCTTATTTGCAGGGACAAGGAAGCGTCTTTCTAATCAGCTCTTCATTATTGTCTCCCTAATTAGCATGTTCCCTGAAGACTTTCATTCTTGTACTTTCCCTTGAAAGAATAATAATGGTTAAATTATTTAATAATGTTGCTTTGTCTTTTATCGGGTCTCTTACCCAAGAATCTCCAGGTGCTTTGCAGAGATTAATTATGATTCACAAGGCTCACAAAATGGTTCTTAAAACATTTTGAAAGTTGTGAGGCCTCAATAAATTAAAGAAGTAGAAGCAGAAACCTGAAATTGGGGTTCATTTGTTTCACTGTAGATGAGATTTCCTTCTCAATAATCCTGTGCCCTTTTTTTTTTTCTTCAGAATTAGGATAAAGGATGTAAGGCTAGATTCATGAAGGTGAATTAACTTCTCCTACATACTATGAATGAACTTTTCCTAAGCACTCCACCTGTGCTATTTATTACCAAGGGAACAGTGCTGCCTGCATAGAGCAGTGCATTAATCAGGACTCTGGGTCATAAGTGACTAAAACCCAACTAAAAATGGCCTAAGTGAAAAGAAAAAAATTTGGGTGATGTAACTGAAAAACCTAGCTATTGTCTGCTCCCAGCTAGACTTCGTGACTCAGAATACACTCATGAAGACTCTACCTCTTAGCTCTCCTTCCCTGAATGGGTTTTGTTTATAAGCTGTTCCCCATAAGGTGCCACCAAGCAGCCTCAGGTTTACAGCCTACAATTTTCACAACCCTGGTTTAAAGTGTGTTCCCAAGAATTCCAGCAAAAAAAAAAAAAATGTGAGAGTCAACCTGCTTTCAGTCATGCACCCACCTCTGAACCGGTTTCTATATCCAGCAGGATAAAATAAGCTTATTTATTGGGCTGGTTCATGGGATTGGCCTTGAAGCTGAGAATAAGATCAACCTTATCTAAACTGGGTGGAAGGATTTGGTAGGTAAGTATAGTTCCCAAGAGGAAAGTCAAGGAATTGTTTCAAGAAGGAGGATGATTCAAAGGTAGAAATAACATGTCTACTGAAGGTAACATGGTTTCAGTATTTATATTTGTTTTTAGCACAGATAACTGAAGACCTCTGAGATAGAGATAGAAACCTCTGTCCTTGATTAATATAATTTTCCATTAAAATGCCACTTTCAACATTACCCTGGAAACCAATCCCATGAGATATTTCTTGAAAAAAAGGATCCAATGACTGCATAAATTTAATCAACACTGGAAACTCTAACATCCTTGGGTATATATTAGTTTTGAATAAGCTTGTATACTCTTATAGCATATACAGATTTTATAATACACAGTCAACAAACTCCTTATTCATTCATAGATGTGTATTATGGCATGTGTGTCTGTGTGTGTGCATGTATGCACACTTCCAAAACTTGTGATGTCAGAGATCAGAAGTGTGATATAAGGTATGATGATCTCTTGAGGCAAAATGGTACAGAAAGATAGAAGACAGGACCACTCAATGAAAAGTGGGCTGAGGTTCTCAGGGAACTGGCCCAATTGCAGATACTAATATTGCTAGGAAGTTTCCATGGAAAGTCACACTTCCTAGTAAGATTAACACTGTATTTTACATTTTGG